GGCAGTATGATAGCTTTCTCATAGCTCCCACTTGAGTTTGTTTAGTGTGGTGAGTTGGTTCAGTGTGTTCAGATGTAAAAATGTATTCACTCAACTCTATTTGAGTCATTGTTAATGAATGTGAAATGCATTTTATTTCAATTCCATTGGCCTATTCTGTGAATAAATGTGTTGTGCTAATATAGATCTTTGTGGTCCGTGATTTGTAGGCTACACATGTAGGCTGAATGATAAAGCATAGTACTGAAAAACAAGCTAAAGATTTGGAGTTGACGTAGGTTATTTTGGCATTATTTTACTGGTCCGGCGCCACTTGAGATCAGATGGGCTGTATGAGGCCCATGAACCAAAATGAGTTTGACACCCTGGTCTAGACTCTAGACTCTAGACCCTGCTCAACCATGCGATGTAGCTGTTCAGCTGCCAGACTGTCCTGTTCCATGTTTTGTGGATGTCATGGGATGGAAGAATGCCAGAATTAACAAACAAAGTCAATATCTTCCTATGATGCAGATGATGTGTGTGAGCCAAGTGACTAAGATAACTATAATTGCTACAACTTGGACATCTTGAATTGTGTTGTATTGCTTGCCTGCTGCTTTTTTAATGATGTATATTGTTAGAGGTTTATTTGCGTGCACGTGCATGTGTGTGTGTGTGTTCCTGTATGTTTTTTTTAAATTTGATGTTAGAGCTTATTCATGTGTTTCAGTTGATATATTGACTAAGAATATGTAGGGTTTTGCTAAAAAAATCAAGTCTCTATGTGCTTTTTTGATCGAGTTATAGTGAATATTAGATTTCGGAGTCGGCCATTTTGTTTTTTGATTTTATGAAAAATGCTCAGATGCCAAGGTGGCATACGATGGATTTGTGTTCAGTATGGTCCAAGCTACCAGAATCTGTAATAAAATGTTGTATGTACTCTAATTCCCACCCATGGCTCAAAACTGCCACCGGACTATTTGTGATTTCTATTGTGCGTTTACTAGATGCTGCTAGTCCGGTGGCAGAATTGATCTATTCGATTTTTAAATCCTGCTTTTGTTAATTGCTGCCAGACTATGCTGGTTGATAGTTAAATTGTCAGCCCTTCAGATAATAATTAGATGTTTAATACTTAACACGCAGTAATTTTTAAAACTAATGAGCTTTCATGTATTATTTTTTTTATTGTAATTGCAATGGTACGAGAAACATGCGGCAGACGTCACCAGTTGTGTATTTAAAATGCGAGACAAGACTTGCACAGTCAGAGGCATAGTCATAATAACTTGAATATTGCTTTGTTCTTCATGCTAACTCTTTAAATTTCACTCAGGTTGTGAGACAGTACAGCCACTCCATGTTGATAAAGGTCACTGGGTGGTTGTGGCAAACATATGTGGAGACAAAAATTTCCAGGTATATGACACTCTGCCAAGGCATAACGCCTGCTTATGCGCACTCCAAAAAAGGTTATAACCATAGAGTCTGTAAATATGCATCGTCTAGATGGTGGAACTGACTGTGAAGTTTTTGCAATTGCAGTCATGGTTTGTTTGTGCAATAGAGTAAATCCTTCAAAATGTTTTTATAGGCAATCCGAAATGCCCGAATATTTGTATAACTGTTTCAGAAACAAAATTCTGTCGAATTTCCCTCTGTTTGCCAGAACTCAACCAAAATTCAAAATTGGTTCATTGTTTGTGGACCGAGTACGTGTACTGTGTGTGCAGGCTTCCAGGGAAGAAAGAAGTGCCAATGGTTGAATGTTGGAAATGTAAGGAATGGTACCACGCAACATGTGTTAGTATTAGCGAAAAGGTCTGGCCTCATCGAAATGAGGTTTACGCCTGTAATCAATGCCTGGGAACTTCAAAAAACACTACAGGTAAAGGAAGCTCTGTGCTAATTGAACAGCATCAACCAACAAATATATGGAGTTGCACTCACTCACAACAAATCCTGTAGTGACCAAAAAATCACTACAGCACAATATATCTTACAACTCATGTGGAGCGACCTTACTTTGGAATTTGATGTTATTGGACCATACTATGTCATTAAAGCTGCACTTGAACACAAACATATCATTGCGTCATTGGCAGAAACAATGAGGCTCTTTGTGGCACATGGATTTCAAATTGAGTGTATTGTATGTGATGGTGCCTGTGCAAACGTGGCTGCTTCAAAATTTCTTTGTACAAGAAGGAAGGTATCTTTCAAGAAGGTGTGGCCAGCAATGTGTGTCATCACATCATGGTTCACTAATTGATTCAGTCCACGAGCCATGGGTTTATATCGCTATGTTTCCTTTCCACCAGTTTGAGCTGATTTGTCATACTAATTTTTATTATCATAATATTACTAAAAAAAATTTATGGGAAATCTTTCTCTCCGTGCATCACATCCACGAAGCAGGAAGTCGTTATTCTCATGTTCAGACATGTGCTGACAAGAAGCAAATCAAGTTTTGAATTTAAGGTTACAGACGATACTAGGAAAGACATGTGTGACAAACTTGCATGGAGCACGCCTGTTCACCTAGCTCCTCGCGTTTCCACCAGCAAACTGATAATCTCTTAGCGTTACGTGATTAGGCAATTAATTTTCCCATAGACAGCGCCATGAGTACGTGAGCTCGTTGAGTGACACCAGACGTCACAAGGGGCGGAGCCAGGGGGTATATAAGCAGCCACCACGCGTGGAGACGCCCCTTCTTTGCTCACTTTTGCTCTTTTCTTTCTCTTCGCTTTCTGCATTCTTCACTGCCTCCTCTCCTGCGAGGTACACGCTGTAACAATAGTGCTTGTTATCTACCAGCGGCGCGATCCCTACGTGATACTCGTGGTGGCCGTTGTCTTCCAATTTATTATTTGTGTATTATGATTTCTGCCTGTCTTATGTCGATGTACGGTGATTCTTTTCTGTGATTCTTTTCTGTGATTAATTTGCACGACGACGTGAGCTGCAGAAAACGGCGACGGAGTGTCGAGCCGTGTTTGCCTAATATAAGTGGCGGAATGCCTACACCACACTGGCTCTCTTCTTTATATAACTTGGACTCACTCCTTCCTGAATAACGCGTGCGTAGCTGCCCCCATCTTGGCAGAATCTGGAGCGGAGTCGTGTCAGACTCCGCGACGTCGCCGACTAGTCAGGACGAGATCGAAAACTGTCACACATGCAACATTTTGTATACTAATGTATAACTCTGTCTTAACTTGCTTACAACCATACAAGCAGACCAACTTGAACATATCATGCTGATCTAAAAGGTGCCGACAATGCACAGGTTAAGACTTAATAATAAGACAGATATTAATTCAGAAGTAACAGTGATCTCACAGGTTGCAAACGCATACGAAAACGGGATCTACTTGAGTGCATTTTATTCGGTGGCTCCAGTTTAAGGTACTAACTGCCTTTCATAACAATTCTCAGTACATGATATTTTAAATAATCTAATGAATTTCATATTCTATTTTGCAGATGCCACAGTAGAAGTAGTTTGTATAGATGAAAACAGTGTTCTTCAGGCTATCTACTTCCAGACAAAAGAGGTGAAACAGTCATTCGATGCATGTCCGACGTTACTCTATCTAGATGCAACATACAAATTAAATGACTTCAGAATGCCATTACACGTTGTTATGATTGAGGATGGAAATTTGGAAAGTGAAATAGTTTGTTTATGGATAGTTGTGAAAGAAGATCAGTCTACTATATAAAACATTGTAGAAATGCGCAATTTGTGAGTTTTGTGACGTTGGAATTCGCAATACGCCATGTCAGTCGCAGTTAGTTCACGGTCAATGTGAGTGACGTCGTAATTGAGGAGAAATGGGTCAGGATCTCTAACTCAAGCCTGGTTCTCGACGGGTTTCTCGGCACGACGTTTTTGTGTTCTACAACAGCAGTAAGTGTTGAAAATTAGAAACTTAATTTGAACTCTTGAACTGAAAATTGACTTCAACTGTAATGCGCAAACGAACACTGCTGAACTCAATATTTTTCTGTGGTCCCATTCACGTGTAGACTTATATGTACATGAGAACTTATGCAACGTGAATGTTGCTCACGATGGTTTTGTAGAAAGTTCGAGAATTGTTGTATTAAAATTGCAGTGCTGTGAAATGTGAAGTTAAATTGTTATTTTCCTATACACCTATCAATCGTGGATACTAACCCAATATATAAGCTAGGTTAAATCCACTCACTCAACTCGAATGATGCTCACTCCATTTTCATGATGGTTTCCCAGCTAGGATGAAAAATGTGATCCGATTTAGTATACAAACCAAAGAATGGCAAGGTAGAAGTTTGTGATCCCGCTATTGATAATTTGCCCAAATCCAATGATTTATTTCTTCTTGGTTTCCAAACTAAAGAACAGCTGGCTATGATGAGTTTGCACAATGATATTCTTATAATTGATGCAACACATGGAACACATCAGTATGGTTTTCAAGTAGTTAACATTCTTGTTCCGGATGAGTGGGGAAAGGGGTATCCTGTTGGACACTTTATTACAAGCAATGTAAACGATAGGGTGCTCTACTATTTTTTCAAGGCCATCAAGGATAGATGTCCAGACATGGAAATAAATGTAAACATGTCAGATGCAGATTACAGTTTAGCACGGTCTATTAAGGCTGTCTTTAGGAAAGACAACATCTATCTACTGTGTAAATGGCATGTTCCGCGAGCATGGCAGAGATCCCTTCGGCAGTATTTGAAAGATCAGGAACTGTTAGGCAAGGTGTGGAACGATTTATTGGTAATTTTGGATGTCAAGAGCTCAAATGAATTTGACGATTTGGTTAGGGAATTTAAAGAACGATATTCTGATACATGCGGTGGTTTTGTAACTTATTTTTGTAGCAATTATTTGAAACCTGGTAAGCCTGAACAGTGGGCAATGTGCTATCAGATTTTCCCACACAGGGATAGGGATACCACGATGTTCGCAGAGTCGTTCCTCAATAGACTCAAGTCATACTATTTTAAAAAGAAGTTGAATAAACGAGTTGATGACCTCATATCAACATTACTCATGATCGAAGTAGAAGACTATGTGCAAAGATTTGGTGACCTAAAGTTGCTAAAACCTCAACGCATGTCTGACATCACGAGGACACGACATCAGAGAGGAATCAACATTTCAGAGTTGCGTTGAGAAGACGAATAAGAGTGTATGGCGCGTTCAGTCTCAAGATAAAGATAATTCTGAAAAATGGTATTATGTACAACGGATAGATGAAGAATGCAGAGAAGACTTCTGCTTCAACAAATGTAGCGAGTTTGCATGTGCTGGTCTTTGCTCACATCTTTATGACTGGGAATGCCCTGACCCATCTACATTGTGCAAGCACATTCATAAGGTCCAAACATTTGAGTTAAGAAGCTTAAATTTTAAGATCAACGAGAAAATTAATCAAGATGAGGAAGCAAATAACATCAGTTTTGTTGCAACTTCTGATGCTGAGCAGCAAAACGAGCAACAATTAATGCAAAAATCTGTTGCAAAGCGCGAGGCGGATTTAGCAGAGCTCATCGGATATTTAAGACATGGAGATGTCAAAAAAATGCTCCTCCCCAGTATCAAAAGTACCATCAAATCGCTATTGGCCCAATGAAAACTGGTATCTAAGGGTGCTGTTAGCTATGTTGAACCAGATGAGATGAAAGGAGACACCATTGCCCCTAACATAAAGCCAGATTTGCAGAAAATGAATAAAGCCTCGAAAAGACGAAAAGCATCACCATCCATTTTTCAAAAGCTGATTGAACCAAATGAATTTAAAAAGAAGAGAAGACTACAGTTAATAAACGAGTCAGACGAATACGATGACTTCGAGACACCATTTAAACGACCAGCAGTCCACAAGCCAGTTAATTTCTCGCCATCACTAGACATTGCTAATGAAAAATTACGTGCCCCGCTATTAGTAATCGGTCAGCATAATATTGCAATGCTTTACATGAAATCCATTGAACAGTCTCTGCCTTCTGCTGAATTTGATGCTCTACATAAGGAGACTAATGGCGAGTTTAGAATAGAATGGCTTTATGAAGTCATTAATGATTTCATCTGGATGCTAAAAGAGAGCAATCCTAACATTTTGTATGCCTCAACTACTATGATGCAAGCACTAAACATGGGAGCATCTATGGAAAGATTATGGCAGGACGTGTCTCTTCAAGATAAAGACTTCATTCTATTTCCCACTAATTATCATGGTAATCACTGGATTATGTTTGCGTTGGATATTTCACAAGGGAAGTTGTTATTTTTGGACCCAATAACATCAACCAACATTCCTTCAGATGCTCTGGAAACAGCAGATCGTATTATCAATCTTTTAAATGTCAAAGTTAATATTCAAAAAGTGTATACTGTATCTCCAGACCACGTGTACCAACAAGATTCATCAAGCTGTGGAGTCTTTGTATGCTATTATGCCAGTCAACTTGCACATAGCTCTCCTTTAACTGACCAATTTAATTCGTCTCATTACAAAATGCACATTTATAAGATTCCTTTGGATAGATGCAATTTGGTAACAGCAAAGATCAGAAACACTTGTGGCAAATGCCCTAGATATTGGCAATGATGATGTTTGCATAACTGATAGTTATGCAATCGTGGGGGTCGAATTATTAGCTATATCAGGAAACTATACAATAGCATGAATAAGGTTCTGCATAATATTATTTATCATATTTATGTGCGACTGTCAGGCCAAGACAGCCAAAATTGAATTCTATTGAATCCTCCTATCTTTCATTACATTTCTCCCCACCCGTATTTACCTTCTCTCTCCCCCCCGAACCCTTCACCTAACCCTCCCTACTACCCTCTCCTCCCTAGTTCTTCTCCACTTTTTTTCACCCCATTATCTCCACTGCCTGTGCATGCACTCCATTTTCTGCTAACCCTGTCCGCCCACCCATCCCACCCCGGCCGGCCCATCGTCTCAGTCAACTCCCTTTCCTATTTCCTGCATATCGTATATACCTTCTATAACTTGTTTTTTTTTATATATATCAGCAGTCCAACAATGTTCCGCACAATGTGTGGACATGAGCTGCAGCCAGATATTAATTTTTGGTAAAAAAATCGGTAAAACATGTTGCAGCATTTTTCATATAGCTATCGATTGTAACCTCAATCTAAACACATAACAAGTTCACCTAAAAACACCATCGATCAAGTTAGATTTAGATGGGATGGCTTCATTTTGTTTCACTGATAACTATGTGGCGGTGGTACCGGTTGCCACGAGCCCTCGGCCGGCAGGGATTGAGCTTGCCCGCTGGGGGGATTAAATGTTCTGTGTTTGTAATCGGTTCTGTGTTTGTAATGTCTTTCTTTCTATTTAGTGTGTTTTGAAGCGTATTGCAGCAAGTACTCACTCACCGGCCGAATTCTATGGGGGCTGCCATTGGTCGCGATTGTAACCCCCTCTAGTGGCCGAGAGTGGCGCTAGCGTAGGAAACAGCTGGCGTGGTGGAGGGCGTGTGCAAAAAGTGTGGTTAGCGGCGTAGGTTTTGAGCGGTGCGGGCGAGCACACGTCGAGCTGCGAGATAAAGAATTTCACAGTTAGAGTCCAGGGGCCGGTTTCACGAAGCGTGATTAACTTTAATTATGTTTAAATCACTAATCATACTTAACTTCCCGTAATTATGATTAGTTAGTCATACTTAAAAAAATCACAGAGCGATTTAAGTACATATTTAACTAATCACAAAATTAGTTAAATTAAATACGTAATTAGCCAACTTAATCATATCCAAAATAGCGGACATTGACGCAACGCAAATGCTAATTTATCCCGAAAATCAACAAATAGCGAAGAACGCAAGGCGAATTTCACAGCAAGTAAGAAATCCTATCTGGCAGACCTCGTCAAGGATAATTACAACATACTATTCGGACAATTTACAAGCAGCTTAACTGCAAAAATGAAGAACGAGAAATGGGAGGCGATCGCCGGAAACATCAACGCCATAGGTGCGGGAAGCAGAACTGTAGCGGAGTTAAAAACTCTATGGAATAACTTACAAATAAAGGCTAAGCAAGCAAATGGATTTCAAAATAGAGAGTCAGTGAAGACAGGAGGCAGGCCAGCACCGACTCCCTTAGACGAAACGACGAATGTGATAATTGGCTTCATGAATGACAAACCGTCATTCAGCGGCATTCCCGGAGGCGTAGAAACCGGCCCCGTCAGCGATACAAGTACGTTTATTTTATTTGTCTATTTATTGGTATTTAACACTTATATGCTACACGACAAGTTTTGATTTCCCACACGAGTGTTTATTTCTATGAGTTTAGGATGATTTGTTTTTATTCATTACGCTATTGTTTGGGTGTCAATGTGGGGAACACACGTCAAGGTCACCTTTAGAATTAGCTCACGTAGGCCTAGTACTATAAATAGCCCTTCGCGTCGCCGCGTTCGTTTCCGTCACCCGGAGCGACCCCCACCACTTCCGGAAACTCAGCGGCTTCTTGCGGGGCGACACGACGTAGACGCAGCTCGGCGCGGAGCGCCACCGTCGCTGCCACATCGTCGGCGCCCAGGGATGAGAAGATGAGACAGCGACAACGTCCATCCGCCGACCGCTCGTGAGCCGACGTCGGAGCCGAACATCGCCTCCCTTCGCAGACAACAGCAAGATAGTCGAGGATGCTGCCTGCACATCTAAGAACAGAGACAGGATAGCCACGTGCAGATCGGATGGAGGAGATGGCTGAGGGGCAGGTGAGATTGTCGCAGGACATCTTACACGCACGCATCTCAGACGACGTACGTGTGCTGGGCCTATTCACAGATAGGGTAAGAGCGCTCGCACGCAGGCATTGTTAGAATAAATCTAGGCTGAACGACTAGACCTTACCTAATAATTCATGCATTTGTGTTTGATTCTGGTTGTACTGTATTATGCGAGTGACACGCGTACTGCATATATACACAGACATCAATACGAGCAACGACAGAGTGCGTGTCATTCAGAATGCCGCACTAGGACGTAAACACAGACAGCGACAGTAAATTGTATGACATCTAAGTGAAAATAGACACGTGACTAATAGACCGAGACGGGTCAAGCCAGTATTGCAGCAACAAGCAAGAGCGCTTCATCTTCACGGATCACGTAAGCATACCAGTGTCTAGTTAACCCCTACACAGGGCAAGCAACTCACTACAGGGTGCTATAAAATACTGTTTGGTTGTACAGTTCATTGTGTGTATTTCTGCACCCCAGCGACAGCGCTATGTGGGATTTTGTGCACCACCTGTTAGTTCACCTTAGTCTATTGACTAAGGCCGAATAAAACATGAATTTTAGGAGTGCTTTAGATGGATTTTAAAGAGCAAGCCAATTAACGATCAGAATGGCATGTGAATGCCAGACAGCAGCTGGTCTAACTGTGTCCTTATGTTACAGGCTATTTGACATTCTAAACAGCAGAGGCCCTCTAAGCAAGGGATACACGGCACCACTCCACACTAGCAACATGCACATTTGGAGACCATTTCTAGAAAAATTTAAATATAGAATAAAATGTGCCTTCTCATGCTTACTGCTGCATCTGGCAAGAGGATTTGCCATGGTCCTCGAAAAACCTGCATCATAGGCTTCTACCTAGCAATGAGGGCTGTTACCGCAATTGCTAATAGGTGGCAGCACACCGCAACCCGGTCCCTGCGTGCGCATACCTGTCAAAACTACTAGTTGTAAGCACACGTATTTCACAAGCGATGCGATTTTAGCCAGAAACGTGAGCAAATAAATCTTAACAAAGCTGATATTAACCAGAAATGTCAAAATACGACAATTGGACACTTGCTGAGTTACGTGAGGAACTTAGACGCCGTAAAGCCAAGCTTTCGGGGAGAAAAGCCGAGTTAATCGAGAGGTGAGTTTTCCAGTGTAATTTTTTATGTCATGTAGATCTGCTGACTTCCTCACTCGGTCGCAAAATGAAACGTTTATAAAATGCAGACTTTGTTTCAATTATCAAATTGTTTAACATATAAAAGTTTTAGAGTAATATTTTGTATTTGCAACGGTTTGTAATAAACCATATTACATCATCAGGCCAAAAAATCTTTTTTACAAATACTTCTTTTGTGTGCAGATAGTTACCAAGGGAGGAGCTAT